AGGGGCGGGGCCCAATAGGGGAAATAGAGGATTTTTTTTCTCCTGCTATACAAGTGAAGGGATTTTAACCAAATGCAGTCTGAAGCATGATTAGGGACAAAAGAATCAATTTTGTATAAACTGAGGTGTGTGGGCCTCCTTCTAAGGGCAGATGGGTGGGGCCCATTAGGGGAAATAGAGGAAAACATCAAATATCCTTCTCCTTTTGTACCGATGAAGGGATTTTGACCAAATTTGGTCTGGAGCATCATTGGCCAAAGGGTTCTCAGTTTTGTATGAACGGAGGGTATGGTCCCCCTGGGGGCAGAGGGACGGGGCCAAATAGGGGAAAATAGGTAAATCTTTAAAAATCTTCTCCTCAACCAATTGAAGGATTTTGACCAAATTTGTCCTAGAGCATCTTTGGACAAAGGAGACTCAAGTTTGTATAAACGGAGGGTGTGGGCCTTCTGGCGGCATAGGAGCGGGGCCCAATAGGGGAAATAGAGGATTTTTTTTCTCCTACTATACAAGTGAAGGGATTTAAACCAAATGCAGTCTGAAGCATGCTTAGGGAGAAAAGAATCAATTTTGTTTAAACTGAGGTGTGTGGATTCCCCTTCTTTGGGGCAGATTAGTGGGGCCCATTAGGGGAAATAGAGGAAAACATTAAAGATCCTTCTCCTTCTGTACCGTTGAAGGGATTTTAACCTAACCAAACTTGTTTTAGAGAATCTTTGGGCAAAGGGAATTGAATATTTATAAATGGAAGATGCAACTTTGTTACTTGTACTCCTTTGATAAACCTGAATGGTACTCAGCAGGTTTTAAATTGAAAAATAAAATACCAGGTGAGCTATTAAGGCCCCTGGGCCTCTTGTTTTAAATGTTCATGGTATGAACACAAATTTGTTACATCCATATTCCATGAAGCCTGCTTATGTTTAATATGGATGTAAAGAAGAACTGAAAGGTGTAGAATTTTTTAAGTTAGGCTGGTAGCTTCTTTGGGTTGAGCCCGACAAAGTTTGCGAGTGAAAATTACCTTATTACCTTGACCTACTTTCAAGGTCACAGGGGTCAAATATGTTAAACACTTAAAACAACTTCTTCTTAAGAACTGAAAGGTATATAATCTTAATATTTGGGAATTGAGCATGAGAAAATATGCAAATGAAAAATACCTTGGCCTACTTTCAAGGTCACAGGCCTGGAGTCAAATATGTCAAAAACATCAAACGACTTCTGAATAATGGAAAATCATAGAATCATGTTATTGGGGCTTCTTGGGATAGAACTAAACAAAGTTTGCAAATGAAAATGACCTCAACTTACTTTAGAGGTCACAGAGGTCAACAACACTTCAAACTACTTGTTCTGAAGAACAAAAAGGCATAGATTCATAATATTTTGCTGGTAGCTTGTTTGGATAGAGCTAACAAAATTTAAGAAGGAAATGACTTGACTTACTTATAAGAACACAGGGGTCAAATATGTCAAACACTTCCAAAGACTTTTTCTGAAGAACCGAGGCAAAGAATCATAATATTTGGCTGGTAGCTTCTTTAGATTGAGCACAACAAAGAGTGCAAATGAAAATTACCTTCACCTACTTTCAAGGTCATAGGGATCAAATGTGATTACATATTTAAATGACTTCTCATTAACTAAGTCACAGGGTGATGATATTTGGGATAAAGGACTTCCAAATATTTTCAATTGAATTACTTTATTAGACTTTCAAGGTCACTGCGGTAAAATGTTTTAAAATCTTGTAACAGGTTGTGTTGAATAACCCAAGAATCAAAGGTAAAGATTTTAACTCACCTGCCTGAAAGGATTTATTCTCAGCAACCCAAATGCCAAGGGTGATGATATTTGGCCAGTAGAATGCTGGGATAAAGGGCCAACAAGTTTGTTGAAATGAAAGCCCTGACTAATATTCAAGGTCATTGGGGTCAGATACGGTTAAACCTTTAAACAACTTCGACTGAATAACCAAGAGGCCTAGGGTGTTGATATTTGGCCAGTAACATGCTTGGCTGAAAGGGTACCAAGTTTGTTGAAATGAATGACCTTTGCCAATTTTCAAGGTCACAGTGGTCAAATAGTTAAAATCTTTTAATGACTTCTTCTGAATAGCTTAGAGGCCTAGAGTGATGCTATTTGGCCATTTAAATGCTAGGATGAAGGGCTTTCAAGTCTGTTGGAACAAATGACCTTGATCTAAATTCGAAGTCACAGGGGTCAATTATCTTGAAAATCTTTGAAACAACTTCTTCTGAATAACCAAAAGACACATTGGAATGATATTTGGCCAGTTACATGCTGTCATGAAGGACATCAAGTGTGAAATTAATACCAGGTGAGCGATGCCAGACCCATTTGGCCTCTTGTAATCTTTATGGCTTTATCTTAATCTAATTTGATAAAGAGTGTCCTTGGCCCAATATGATTCTATGTTGTATAAACCATGTCCCCATCCCAATAGGGACAGAGGGATGGGACCCAATAATGTAACGGTGTTGCTGAGAGACCAATGTTTAGAATTTTTTTAGTACAGTATAATGTTTAATGAGAATATTTTGCTGTGACTGCTTAAATATCCAGGTGAGCAATACAGGCCCACTGGGCCTCTTCTTGAAACATTTTCTTCTCATTAATCAATAGGCCCAGGATGATGATAGAAGGCCAATAGCATGCTTGAATGAAGGGCTACCAAAATGGTTCTAATAAATGACCTTGACCTATTTCCAAGGTCACAGGGATCAAATGTGTTAAAAAAATTCTTCTCAATACCAAAACGGTCCAGGTTGAGGATATTTGGCTAGAAGCTGGCTATGACGAACGGCTACCCAGTTTGCTCAAATGAATGACCTTGATTTTGTTCGGTCACAAAGGTCAAATTAAAAAAACCTTAACTTTAAACAACATTTTCTAATAACCAAACGTCCCAGGGTGATGCTTACTGGCCAGTAGCGTGCTTAGATGATTGGCTACTAAGTTCATAAAAAAGTGTAATCAAATAAATGACCTTGACCTTGTTTATTTGGAAAAGCCATATTGAACATTAATTTTTATATGAAGAAATTTTGGTGCTTGAAAAAAGATAATATAATAAGCAGGATATTATGAAAAGTGGGCTCCACTGTATAGGATGTAGAAAAGATTAATGGAAAATCATTTACATTTAAATGAATGTTGATGTTGATGTTTATAGGTGGATCCTGTTGTGCTTTAAACGTGAGTTTCCTGAGGCTGATGCCCTGAAGATCTGGGAGTCTTGCTGGGCCCACTACCAGACTGACTTCTTCCATCTGTTTATATGCGTAGCTATTGTCAGTATCTACGGTGATGATGTCATGGACCAAGGTCTCCCAGCTGATGAAATTCTGCTCCACTTCAGTAGCCTTGCTATGCATATGAATGGAGACTTGGTGCTGAGAAAGGTAATATACATAATCACTTTACCCTCAAACAGTTACTATGCTGAATTCATATTGATTTTTAGATCATCTAACCCTAACCCCTTAGAGAGAAGGTAAGATGATAGAGGGTATGGTACATTGTCTGTACTGATGGTATGGTACATTGTCTGTCTGTACTGATGGTATCATTGTCTGTCTGTACTGATGGTATGGTACATTGTCTGTACTGATGGTATGGTACATTGTCTGTACTGATGGTATATTACATTGTCTGTCTGTACTGATGGTATGGTACATTGTCTGTACTGATGGTATGGTACATTGTCTGTACTGATGGTATGGTACATTGTCTGTCTGTACTGATGGTATGGTACATTGTCTGTACTGATGGTATGGTACATTGTCTGTCTGTACTGATGGTATGGTACATTGTCTGTACTGATGGTATGGTACATTGTCTGTCTGTACTGATGGTATGGTACATTGTCTGTACTGATGGTATGGTACATTGTCTGTCTGTACTGATGGTATGGTACATTGTCTGTACTGATGGTATGGTACATTGTCTGTCTGTACTGATGGTATGGTACATTGTCTGTACTGATGGTATGGTACATTGTCTGTCTGTACTGATGGTATGGTACATTGTCTGTACTGATGGTATGGTACATTGTCTGTCTGTACTGATGGTATGGTACATTGTCTGTACTGATGGTATGGTACATTGTCTGTCTGTACTGATGGTATGGTACATTGTCTGTACTGATGGTATGGTACATTGTCTGTCTGTACTGATGGTATGGTACATTGTCTGTACTGATGGTATGGTACATTGTCTGTCTGTACTGATGGTATGGTACATTGTCTGTACTGATGGTATGGTACATTGTCTGTCTGTACTGATGGTATGGTACATTGTCTGTACTGATGGTATGGTACATTGTCTGTCTGTACTGATGGTATGGTACATTGTCTGTACTGATGGTATGGTACATTGTCTGTCTGTACTGATGGTATGGTACATTGTCTGTACTGATGGTATGGTACATTGTCTGTCTGTACTGATGGTATGGTACATTGTCTGTACTGATGGTATGGTACATTGTCTGTCTGTACTGATGGTATGGTACATTGTCTGTACTGATGGTATGGTACATTGTCTGTCTGTACTGATGGTATGGTACATTGTCTGTACTGATGGTATGGTACATTGTCTGTCTGTACTGATGGTATGGTACATTGTCTGTACTGATGGTATGGTACATTGTCTGTCTGTACTGATGGTATGGTACATTGTCTGTACTGATGGTATGGTACATTGTCTGTCTGTACTGATGGTATGGTACATTGTCTGTACTGATGGTATGGTACATTGTCTGTCTGTACTGATGGTATGGTACATTGTCTGTACTGATGGTATGGTACATTGTCTGTCTGTACTGATGGTATGGTACATTGTCTGTACTGATGGTATGGTACATTGTCTGTCTGTACTGATGGTATGGTACATTGTCTGTACTGATGGTATGGTACATTGTCTGTCTGTACTGATGGTATGGTACATTGTCTGTACTGATGGTATGGTACATTGTCTGTCTGTACTGATGGTATGGTACATTGTCTGTACTGATGGTATGGTACATTGTCTGTCTGTACTGATGGTATGGTACATTGTCTGTACTGATGGTATGGTACATTGTCTGTCTGTACTGATGGTATGGTACATTGTCTGTACTGATGGTATGGTACATTGTCTGTCTGTACTGATGGTATGGTACATTGTCTGTACTGATGGTATGGTACATTGTCTGTCTGTACTGATGGTATGGTACATTGTCTGTACTGATGGTATGGTACATTGTCTGTCTGTACTGATGGTATGGTACATTGTCTGTACTGATGGTATGGTACATTGTCTGTCTGTACTGATGGTATGGTACATTGTCTGTACTGATGGTATGGTACATTGTCTGTCTGTACTGATGGTATGGTACATTGTCTGTACTGATGGTATGGTACATTGACTGTCTGTACTGATGGTATGGTACATTGTCTGTACTGATGGTATGGTACATTGTCTGTCTGTACTGATGGTATGGTACATTGTCTGTACTGATGGTATGGTACATTGTCTGTCTGTACTGATGGTAAAGTTATTCTTACTTGTTGAGAATCATTCTTGAGTGAAGATTGTATCAAATTGTAAAATTGGGATACCTACCCGAACCCAAGGGGCCAGGGCGAGACCCCAAAGGAAAAATTAACCAATATTTCAAAAATCTTTTTCTCCAAACTCAGACGTACTACAGTCAATTTCCCAGGGGGCTGAGGGTGGGGCCAAAAATGGGACAATTTGGCTATATTGCTATAAACGACTTCTTCTGGAGAACTATGCCATGGATATTGATGATATTTGGTTGGAAGCATTCATGGGAGGCCGGGATTCAAAATTGTACAAATGGTGGGGCTGACCCCCCCGGGCTAAGGGGTGGGGCCAAAAAAAGTGTATTACTTGGAAATGGTTGAGATCCCCACCATATAACCATGTTATACAATTGCTGAGTATAAAGAGAAGAATGCACATTTGCTTCCAGGATGGCTATAGGGTCTGGACCCACCCTTGGAAAGAGCCTGCTAACCCTAACCCCAGGGGCTGGAGGGGTTGGGCCCAAATGGGGATTATAGTTAAAAAAAAATCTTCATCAGACTCAGATGTTTTACTGTTCTTGGATAGAAAGGTCCTTAATTACCATTACCTAAATGGTAAATTTCATTATCCCCCAGGTCATCTGCTCTCCCATGGGGAGAGGTTGTATTCTCAATAGCAAAATAATTTATTTAAATAGTTTTTAAAGTTCTTATCCTTTGGTGACATGACAAGTATTGTATTTCACTTTGTTTACATGTTGTTTTCTCAACAATGAAATTGAGACGCAAGTACCTATGATATAACTCAGGTGACCGCTAAGCCCCTTGGGCCTCTTGTTTTATGTTATTATGAAGCAAAGTTGTTAAGAACTTAACACAGAGTCAATTGACCAAAGGTTCAGGCTATGGGGTCCAAAGGTTCAAGGTCAAGGTCAAGTTTTGTATTTTTCACTGATGAACATTTTGTTATGATATTATGAAGCAAAGTTGGTCGAAATTAAAGAATAAGTCAACTGACCAAAGATCAGGGTCACTCGGTTAAAGGTCAAGGACATTTGGGTCCAAAGGTCAAAGACAAAGTGGATCTCTGACTTTGGACCCTGGCTCTTGATGGAGGAGGTATTTAAGTGAAATAAAACAAACAACGCTGACAAATGGTTACTGCCTCGGTATTACCATTTCTGTTAGTCCAGCAAATATGGAGGTGGAAGGAAACAAGACTCACATCAAAGTACAAGTAAAATGTATATTTTGCTTCCTTGCGATTCTTTTTGAAGTCCAAATGTCAAAACGTCAAGCTCAGCTATATGGGCAGTTTGCAACTTGATGATTATGGGGGATATATTGCCACAAGACGGGGCCCTTACTGACCTGT